CCACCCGCACCCCCATCCCCCCATCATTGTGAAGCCCCTAACACAGAGACCAGCAGGATCGGGCTGGTAGTGTAGAGTCCAGAGACCTGGGTCTAAATCCCTCTGCACCACTTATAAATTCTGTGACTGTAGGTAAGTTTCTGAACCCTCTGAACCTTAGTTTCTCTATCTCTAAAATGGGGATAATATACCTGCCTCACAGGCCAAGATTTGATGATCTATGTCTATAGAGCCCCTAGCTAAGTGCTCGCGTGTAGTAAGTGCCCAGGAGGTAGGAGCTACTGTCATTAAGGAAAGACAGTGCCCAACAGGTAGGGCAGGGAAGGGCATGGTAGTGAACTGCCTCCCCCGCCACCTTCAACACCCTCCTGCAAAACAGGTCAGGAGTCTAATTCAGAAAGGCAAGGCCTGCCTGGGCTCCAGAGGGAGACACAACAAGGAAACTAGGTTAGGCTGGTAGCTGGGAGGGAGGAGAGGGCCTCGGTGGGGTAGGTTGTCACTGCATGCAGAGGTCCCTTGGTCCCCATGATCACAAGTGAGGGTGTCATTGTGGAGCCGGAGCGTCACCCCCTGGTGGGAGCAGGGGACAGTGCCTCAGAGAGTGCCACTAATGCTGTCCTGTTCCCTCTCTCCCCAGATCTACCTGTCCTGGAAGAGCGGGCCCGGGGAGGTGAAACACTGGAAGGACATGATTGCCCGTCCCCGGCAGCCTGTGGCCCAGTGGCACCAGCTGAAGGCCTGAGTGGGGCCAAGGGAGGCCCAGGGGGCCAAGCGCCCGGGTCCCCATCGTGCCCTCACCACTTTATGCACAACGCCCGGCTTGGCCCCCCTGCCATGGGTGAGGGGAGGACCCCAACAGCTTGGCCAGGGAGGGTCCCAGGAATCATTTGGGCCCCATTTCTAGGAAGTACCAGCCCCATCCTCCACCAGTCCAACTCCGGGGGAGGGGCTCTGGGAGCCATTTTCCTGCTTTGCCCCTTTCCTTCCTGACTTGCTGATACTAAAGAAGTGGGGGAAAGCGTGAGAGCCAGACAGGCAGATCCCTCCAGAGGCCCGTCAGGTGGACATGGTCCCCGTTTTCTTTAAGGCAGTGCCTGGAGTGGAGAGAGGCCGCCCACTCCACAGCCCCCGGTTCTGGGCCCAGGAGAGGGGAGGCTGAGGTGTTTGGCCCCGGCCTGGCCAGGAGAGACCCGTCCCAGGGCAGTTTCAGGTGCCGGCTGGGCCCTGAATGCCAAGGATAGTATAGAGCCCCCTCTGGGGTCCTGGAGCTGCAGCCCTGTGTACTTGTGTTGTGTCCACAGTGTGCATGTGCGTGTGTGTAGGGGGTGAGGTGCTTGCTCCCTGTCCCCCCCGGGGCCAGCAGTGTTGAAGACTATGCAGAGAGGGCAGGATTTCATGCAGTGAGGCAGGGCTGGAGGCCCAGAGAGGACAATGCGGTGAGCCAGGGGGTGGGGGAGGAGAGGCAGGGGAGGGGTGAG